TTACAATTTCGGCCCGAAAGTTGTGATAATTAAATTTTTTACAATATTTGCCACTACGCCCCTTTCAAAGGAATATGGGGGTCAGGATCCATCTAATGGCATGTATGAACATTCATTGTGGGGAAACTAACCTATTAAAAAAAAAAATATTTTCCTCCAAAATGCTGAGCCACCCCGGACCTTCTAATTTCGGCCCGAAAGTTGTGATAATTCAAATTTTTACAATATTTGCCCCTACGCCCCTTTCAAAGGGATATGGGGGTCAGGATCCATGTAATGACATGTATATACAATCATTGTGGGGAAACTAGCCTATTAAAAAAAAATAATATTTTCCTCTAAAATGCTGAACCACCCCGGCCCTTACAATTTCGGCACGAAAGTTGTGATAATTCAAAATTTTACAATATTGGCCCCTTCGCCCCTTTCAAAGGGATATGGGGGTCAGGATCCATGAAATGGCATGTACGGACATTCATTGTGGGGAAACTAGCCTATTCAAAAAATATAATATTTTCCTCCAAAATGCTGAACCACCCCGGCCCTTACCATTTCGGCCCGAAACTGGTGTTTATTCAAATTATCACAATATTTGCCTCTACGCCCCTTTCAAAGGGATATTGGGGTCAGGATCCATCTAATGGCATGTATGTACATGTACATTCATTGTGGGGAAACTAGCCTAATCAAAAAATATAATTTTTTCCTTCAAAATGCTGAACCACCCCGGCCCTTACCATTTTGGCCTGAAATTGGTGTTTATTCAAATTATCACGATATTTGCCCCTTTCAAAGGGATATGGGGGTCAGGATCCATCTAATGGCATGTATGTACATACATTGTGGGGAAACTAGCCTAATCAAAAAATATAATTTTTTCCTTCAAAATGCTGAACCATCCCGGCCCTTACAATTTCGGCCCGAAAGTTGTGATAATTAAAATTTTTACAATATTTGCCACTACGCCCCTTTCAAAGGGATATAGGGGTCAGGATCCATCTAATGGCATGTATGAACATTCATTTTGGGGAAACTAACCTATTAAAAAAAAAAATATTTTCCTCCAAAATGCTGAACCACCCCGGACCTTCTAATTTCGGCCCGAAAGTTGTGATAATTCAAGTTTTTACAATATTTGCCCCTACGCCCCTTTCAAAGGGATATGGGGGTCAGGATCCATGTAATGACATGTATATACAATCATTGTGGGGAAACTAGCCTATTAAAAAAAAATAATATTTTCCTCCAAAATGCTGAGCCACCCCGGACCTTCTAATTTCGGCCCGAAAGTTGTGATAATTCAAATTTTTACAATATTTGCCCCTACGCCCCTTTCAAAGGGATATGGGGGTCAGGATCCATCTAATGGCATGTATGAACATTCATTTTGGGGAAACTAACCTATTAAAAAAAAAAATATTTTCCTCCAAAATGCTGAACCACCCCGGACCTTCTAATTTCGGCCCGAAAGTTGTGATAATTCAAGTTTTTACAATATTTGCCCCTACGCCCCTTTCAAAGGGATATGGGGGTCAGGATCCATGTAATGACATGTATATACAATCATTGTGGGGAAACTAGCCTATTAAAAAAAAATAATATTTTCCTCCAAAATGCTGAGCCACCCCGGACCTTCTAATTTCGGCCCGAAAGTTGTGATAATTCAAATTTTTACAATATTTGCCCCTACGCCCCTTTCAAAGGGATATGGGGGTCAGGATCCATGTAATGACATGTATATACAATCATTGTGGGGAAACTAGCCTATTAAAAAAAAATAATATTTTCCTCCAAAACGCTGAACCACCCCGGCCCTTACAATTTCGACACGAAAGTTGTGATAATTCAAAATTTTACAATATTGGCCCCTTCGCCCCTTTCAAAGGGATATGGGGGTCAGGATCCATGAAATGGCATGTACGGACATTCATTGTGGGGAAACTAGCCTATTCAAAAAATATAATATTTTCCTCCAAAATGCTGAACCACCCCGGCCCTTACCATTTTGGCCTGAAATTGGTGTTTATTCAAATTATCACGATATTTGCCCCTACGCCCCTTACAAAGGGATATGGGGGTCAAGATCCATCTAATGGCATGTATGGACATTCATTGTGGGGAAACTAACCTATTAAAAAAAATATATATTTTCCTCCAAAATGCTGAACCACCCCGGCCCTTACCATTTCGGCCTGAAATTGGTGTTTATTCAAATTATCACAAAATTTGCCCCTACGCCCCTTTCAAAGGGATATGGGGGTCAAGATCCATCTAATGGCATGTATGGACATTCATTGTGGGGAAACTAACCTATAAAAAAAAAAATTATTTTCCTCCAAAATGCTGAACCACCCCGGCCCTTACCATTTCGGCCCGAAAGTTGTGATAATTCAAATTTTTACAATATTTGCCCCTTCGCCCCTTTCAAAGGGATATGGGGGTCAGGATCCATCTAATGGCATGTATGTACATTCATTGTGGGGAAACTAGCCTATTCAAAAAATATAATATTTTCCTCCAAAATGCTGAACCACCCCGGCCCTTACAATTTCGGCCTGAAATTGGTGTTTATTCAAATTATCACAATATTTGCCCCTACGCCCCTTTCAAAGGGATATGGGGGTCAGGATCCATCTAATGGCATGTATGTACATGTACATTCATTGTGGGGAAACTAGCCTAATCAAAAAATATAATTTTTTCCTTCAAAATGCTGAACCACCCCGGCCCTTACCATTTTGGCCTGAAATTGGTGTTTATTCAAATTATCACGATATTTGCCCCTACGCCCCTTTCAAAGGGATATGGGGGTCAAGATCCATCTAATGGCATGTATGGACATTCATTGTGGGGAAACTAACCTATTAAAAAAAATATATATTTTCCTCCAAAATGCTGAACCACCCCGGCCCTTACCATTTCGGCCTGAAATTGGTGTTTATTCAAATTATCACAATATTTGCCCCTACGCCCCTTTCAAAGGGATATTGGGGTCAAGATCCATCTAATGGCATGTATGGACATTCATTGTGGGGAAACTAACCTATTAAAAAAAAAAATTATTTTCCTCCAAAATGCTGAACCACCCCGGCCCTTACCATTTCGGCCCGAAAGTTGTGATAATTCAAATTTTTACAATATTTGCCCCTTCGCCCCTTTCAAAGGGATATGGGGGTCAGGATCCATCTAATGGCATGTATGTATATTCATTGTGGGGAAACTAGCCTATTCAAAAAATATAATATTTTCCTCCAAAATGCTGAACCACCCCGGCCCTTACCATTTCGGCACGAAAGTTGTGATGATTCAAATTTTTACAATATTTGCCCCTACGTCCCTTTCAAAGGGATATGGGGGTCAGGATCCATCAATGGCATGTATGGACATTCATTGTGGGGAAACTAACCTATTAAAAAAAATATATATTTCCAAAATGCTGAACCACCCCGGCCCTTACCATTTCGGCCCGAAAGTTGTGATAATTCAAATTTTTACAATATTTGCCCCTTCGCCCCTTTCAAAGGGATATGGGAGTCAGGATCAACCTAATGGCATGTACCGGTATGTACATTCATTGTGGGGAAACGAACCTATTAAAAACTAGATGGAATTCGACTGCGCGCAGTCGAAAATGATGCCTCCGTCATAGAGCAATTTTACAAACCGAAACGGAAGAAATTTTTCAAATTCAAGTTCAATTGTAATCCATTAACATGTTCTCAGAATATCGTGATTACAAGCAATTTCTCATATACATATATGACCCTTTGATCTTTGACCTCATGACCCTAAAATCTACTCAGTTCATTGGCTCTGCAAGATTTCCTGAGTTAAATAGTAATCCATCTGTCAGTTCTAATGCGTCCACAAGCTATTTTTGCATACATAATGAGCCCATGACCTTTGATCTTATGAACCATTCATTGGCTCTGCAAGATACATAAATGATCTAAGTTTGGCAGGAATCCATCAATCTGTTCTAATGATGCATACATAATGAGCCGCATGACCTTGACCTTTACCTCATGACCCCAAAATCTAATCAGTTCATCAGCTCTGCAAGTAACATATATGACCTAAGTTTGGCAGGAATCCATCAATCGGTTCTTGAGATAAGGCGATCACGAGCTGTTTTTGCATACACAATGTGTGCTGTGACCTTTGACCTCGTGACCCTAAAATCTAATCAGTTCATTGGCTTTGCAAGATACATACATGACCAAAGTTTGGCAGGAATCCATCAATCGGTTCTTCAGATAACGCGATCACAAGCTGTTTTTGCATACATAATGAGCCCTGTGACCTTTGACCTTTGACCTCGTGACCCCAAAATCTAATCAGTTCATCAGCTCTGCAAGATACATACATGACCAAAGTTTGGCAGGAATCCATCAATCGGTTGTTCAGATAACGCGATCACAAGCTGTTTTTGCATACATAATGAGCCCTGTGACCTTTGACCTTTGACCTCGTGACCCAAAATGTAATCAGATTGTTTTCCTATAGTGATACACACTATCACTAAGTTTGAAGTTTAAATCTCCAGTGGTTCTTGAGATATCATGATAACAATCTCAATGTATGGAATTTCATAAGTTGACCTCTGTGACCCTTGACCTTTGACATACGTGCTCCAAAATCTAATCAGATCGTCTTCCTATGGTGATACATACTATCCTTAAGTTTGAAGTTTAAATCTCAAATGGTTCTTGAGATATCGCGCTAACAAACTCAATACAAGGAATTTCATAAGTTGACCTCTGTGACCTGTGACCTTTGACCTACGTACTCCAAAATCTAATCAGATTGTCTTCCTATGGTGATAAATACTATTCCCGAGTCTTAAGTTTAAATCTTAAATGGTTCTTGAGATATTGTGATAACGGTCAAACGGGACGTACGGACGTACGGACGGACAACCCGAAAACATGATGCCTCCGGCACCACCTTCGGTGGCGGAGGCATAATAAAAACAGCATAGGAATCAGAACTTACTTGCATCCTGACAAGAGAGGTTGAGATTCAGGCAGCATGTCCGCTATATCACTAAAGCATGGCAGGCAGACATTGGTCAGGAACTCAATCTATCATGAACCACAAGAAATGGGGCTGGTAATTTTCTTTCAGTGTGAAGAATTACTTTAACAAGATGGGCTAAATACTCCAATGTGCAAGATGTTGATTTTGAATGATTTTTTGTTTTGTAATGTCTGAATGAAGAAAACATCACTAATTGCAAATGCTGATATTTATTTTATTAAGCAGTATATATAGCTTATTTTAGTATTGTTGCATCAGAAAAGGCGTTGTAAAATATTTTTCACTAATATTTTCAGAGGTCATGCTGGCCATCTCGGTCTATCATAATAAATTCATCACAAGAATTATTTGTATATCATATTATATGTAAGGTTGAGTGTACAAGGCCTGTTGCAAAACTTTTACCATTGATGGTAACTTTGCCATCAATGGCAGCTACCATGGTAACAGGGCTCAACAGCAAATCAAAATCAAGGTTTCCTTGGTAGTTATCATTGATGGCAAAGTTGCCATCAATGGTCAGTTTTGTGCAGCGGGGCCCAGGTGAATGGTTCATTCTTCCTAAACCTTACCTTAACCAATATTACATATTTTCAGTCCAAGCTATTAAGCTGTGCATGAAACCCTTTGGAAATACTTTATTATTACAAATGAAATTGTTTTTAATGTGTTATTGATTCTTTGCTAGCTAGAATTCATTCACTTCTTAGTATATACCTGTTCTTGTGCACGGTTAGGTTGATTGTCTCTGTCCAGCATCTGAATAGGGGTTTCCCCTCTCTCCTTTTCAATATCACCCTAGAGGGAAAGAATGCAAACAAAGTGTTTTTAGAAGAAAAAAAACGCACAATCATTATAATCAAAGTAGGATTAACAGAGACAACACTAAAAGTATTTTTTGTATAGTGCTCAGGTCTGTCATAATTGTGCATTTATCCTCATTAGTTGATTTCTTCTCCGTCTTCCTTAAATGCGTCATTTAGAATATAAGCTTTTAAACCCATTATAGCTAAAATGACTAATGTTACAGTTTACTTCAGTTTCTTTTCTCCTTATGAAATACCTCTATCTTTGAAGTTGTTTTGATGCTGATTTTACTTTAAGAATCTTTTCTGGAAAGAAAAAAATATATAATTTAAAAGCAACCCAAAGAAATAGTAGATGGGTTCTATCCATCTTTTCCATAATTAGTTCTGATTAAATTCCTTGTCCATGTTAAGGCTCAAGTAACTTTACGATAAGAGGTTAGTATAAGATAACATTCTTAACCCTAACAAATCCCAACACTATGTCTAGTGAGGTATAATGAAAAAAATTGTCTTTTTTTTTCTTCCATGTCACCCTCATTCAATGAATGGCGGTTTACAGATACTCTTTATCATTACAATTTTGTATTGTTCCCGGACGCTCATGAAATATGATCGTACCATTCAATGTGTCACACATACAGCTGTAGTCTACAAAAAAGAGTACTTTACCCCTTAATAGCCACATTGTACTTGCACAACATTGCCTGTTGCCATTCATCAACAAATCAATATTTCGATCACTAGCTGTTGCATGGCAGCAGTTGGCTCAATCATGCAGTAAAGCTTGACGAACAAGGCTTTGGAGAACTATGCTTGAACTACCTGACTGTAGAACTCTTCGTAGAGACATTCGACAATCTGCTGCTGAATGGGCCACATCTTGGTTGAGGCACAAAGGTCACAGGCCGTCATGCACATGTTACGAATGCTCCATCTGAATGATATGAGATTATGATTCAATCTTAACATACTCTCTTAATCTCCAGGGCACGTTGCACAAAACTTATAATTGATGGTAATTAACTTTGCCATCATGCAATGGTATGAGTCAATGGGAAACCTTGATTTTGATTGGCTGTTGAGCCCTGTTACCATGGTAGTTGCCATTGATGGCAAAGTTACCATCAGTAGTAAGTTTTATGCAACCGGCCCAGGTGTGATCAAAGTGGATAAAACATTTATTAAGAACATTTTCATTTTTTTCATTTTTTTTAATTTAAACACACACAAGCTGCAACCAAGGTTAGCATGGAAAACACTGTCACCCTAAAGCATTTACTTGCAGGCCCAAAAGAAGTATATGAATGATTTATCAATCAAACCATGATTTATTCATTACAAGCACCAAAAGGAATACAAGAAAGGAGATGTGTTGATCAACAGAAAGAGAGAGAGAAATATAGAAAAAATGAAAGTGAGAAATAGACGAATTAAGAAAAAGAACTCTATATAAAATGTTTATGTTTGTCTCATAATACTGTGAGCGCTTTGATTGTATATGTTGTAACTGGTAAATCGCTTTATATTAAAGAAACAGTTATTAATGTTATTATTATTATTAGGGTACAACCTTATACTAGAAATTTAAAAAAAAATGTTTTTCACTAATTTATTCTTAAAGTATTACAGTATTCAAAAGAATAATATTTTGACATCATATTCTAGAGGAAAATGGGTCATTATAATCAAGGTTCCAGAGAGATAAAAGGAGATGAGGAAGAGAGTGAGAGAGAAAGAGAAAAGAGGGAACAGATCATTATCATGTCTGTCTGTATTCTAAAATCTATTTAGGAATTACATAATTCAACAAACTATTTCTTATAAATGCAATACTCAAAGTTTGACATCCTATTCTAGAGAGTCTATAACCATGGACCTACTCAAATTCGAAATTTGTTGGTCCAAAAGTAAATTTGTTGCGTTTACATGCAATATTCACGTAAAGCACTTTATAAGAAACCGTTATTAATGCTATTATTATTGTTAGGGTACAGTAACAACCTCATACTAGACATTTAAACAAAAATCAAAGTAGGTCCATGCTCTAACCTGTGATGATCTATGGTCCAATCAAAGGTTTGAGCAACCAGCAGCTTGGAGAGCTCCTTGTGGTTTGGGAAGAAGTTTGTAAGGTCTGTCGACATGATGATATCTTGGATCAGATCCACTATCTGAATAGTAAAGACAACGATAGCAACGGTGTTTACATATCACCTTTCTATTACACCCTTCTGAACAAAGCAGTTTACAGTATACTGGATTCAATTAGGATTCTATTAAAAATATGATAATATTCATCATTTTGGAGCGCTAAAAATAATAAGTAGTTACCAGTGCTCACAAAACTACAGAATGCGACGTAAAATACATACCGGTAGACAGTAGACTCATTACCAAAAAGGTAAATCGCATTTGGTTACTGAGGGAAGAAGTATTTTATGGGATCTTTTGAAGGAGGCAAGACAGGTTTAATAATTCACTGATGAAAAGTGTTATATTGTTTCATGTTTTCGAATCAGCCACTGTAAAAATATTTTTCGGTAGATGAGGGTGATTCTCCACTTAACATACACACTGTCTACATACATGCCAACATTTGAAAATCAGAAATCTGTACAAATTATGCTATTTTCAAAAAAAAGAGGAACAATCCTAACTCTCCTATTTAATACTACAGACAAATTTGTACAGGAAGAGGAACACCTGCATTAAAATGATAATTATCTTCTCCCAAAAAGAGGAATGTTCCTCTTTAATCTGAACAGTTGGCATGTATGTGTCTACTCCACGGAGGTGCATTCCAGCCAGTCACTAAATTAGTCAATCTATCCAAATCGATCCTCCGGCTAGTCAACCATCAATCAATGGACCAAGCAATAAGTAAACAAATTCGTCACAAAACAATGCCTTTCAAATCATCAACCAATTACCCATTAAAAAATCAATCACTTAATTCATCAATGAAACATTCACTAAATCAGTTAATCAACCGATCAGTCAAAATGAATTATTCCATCAGTCAATTGCAACTAACCTTCTTGAATGTGGAATATTAGAGAACATGTACCTACCTTGTGCACCCTTTTGATACAGAATGGAGACGGTCATTGCAAAGTGATGTCTCTTAAACCAATCAATCAATCATCAAATAATAATCAACCAACCAAACAACCAATCAAGATTAAACCAGTCAATCAATCAATCATTACAAACCAACCTTCTTGAATGTGTCAGGTGGGAGATGAGAGAACACATTAAAGCCCTCTCGATGCAGGATGGAGATCGATCGAGGGTCATTGCAAAGTGATGTCTCTTAAATCAATCATTCAATCAAATATTAATCAATCAACCAGACAACCAATCAAGCAATATACCAACCTTCTTGAATGTGTTAGGTGGGAGATGAGAGAACACATTAAAGCCCTCTCGATGCAGGATGGAGACGGTCATTGCAAAGTGATGTCTCTTAAATCAATCAATCAATCAATCATCCATACAACCAATCAATCAATCAATCAATCAATCAATCAATCAACCAGACAACCAATCAAGCAATATACCAACCTTCTTGAATGTGTCGGGTGGGAGATGAGAGAACACATTGAAGCCCTCCCGATGCAGGATGGAGATGGTCATTGCAATGTGATGGCTCTCCATGATGGAGGATGAGTAGAGTTTACCGAGAGGGGTTCCAAACTTGGCATGGAAGCTGTTGGTCAATCCACGGTGGTCCATGTCATGGCAAATACTCCCAAAGAACATGGCATACATCTGGGTTGTAATAGAGTGAAGAAAGTTTAATTTCTTGCATTTCACCACAAACAAAGCTTTTAGAGGTCAATTTAGCTTGAACCAAAAAGATTTATTTTACCTGTAATATTCAATTGGAATTTGAATTTCTATGCAATTTTCATTATGAACTTATCTGTTCTATTTTGGGATGGTATCAACATTGTAACTAACTTTAAGATGTAGTTTCGTCCTCAAGAGTATTGTTTGGAAAAATGACATACTGTATGAAACTGATTAAGCATGACAACTTACTGCATGTATGGGAGGCACAATTAATAACACGACTTTTATTGAGAAACACAATTATATTAAAACCTGCTCCAGTGACCCTCTGCATAGATGGACCACTTAATAATGATAATAAAAATAATATTGGTGGCTTCTTACAGGTGTATATAGTACACATGTCCGTCTATAAAGACCACATTTAAACAAAAAAAATCCTTGAATAAATGTTTCCAATGCTACATGCATTACAGAAACCTGTACATGAAGGCCATCTGCCTATTAAGATCCCTTTTCTTGTCCCATTTGAGCGTTCTTTATAAACAGGTTTCACTGTAAATATGATTACAACTAGCCTAACTCTTCATCTGGGAATCTTCCCTCACTGTGTAGAAGAAGCATGAATAATTTGACACACATCAAAGGCATGACAGAAGTTATAGAACGGGACCAGCCTATTTTTTTTTTTTTTATCTCAAGTACATTTACAGATGAATCCATGGAATGATGTATTCTTAAAGTTTTTTCTTGACTATTAAACCCACCTCCTCATCTGTGAATCTGCCTTCACTGTGCAAGAGAATCATGAACATGCAATGACACACATCAAAGGCATGACAGAAGTTATGGAATGGCACCAGCCTGTAATGCTTCCTGACAGTCAGGATGAATCGAGCTAGAGTCGTCAGGTCAAAGCTGGGGGGGGGGGGGATGTAGGAATAAATTACATGAGGTCTCATTAAATTTGTACAATATTTGCTAATTACCAATCTGTATATAGAAAAATCCTGAACTTGTCATTATAGCTATTTTGTCAACTTTATATAAAACTGGGAGAGACAGTGGATATAATACTAACCAGACTAATCGGGATTGGGAGTATGCTATTTTTACTTCTTTGTTTGGGGGTGGGGGGGGGGGGGGTGGGGGGGGGGGTTCCTTTTAACAAAACCTATCAATATGTTGTATCTTTGTGACCAAACTGTTATGTGAGAAATGATCAAATCAAATTAGCACAAATTTAATTCACTAATCAGCTTCATGATAATGGACACATGCCTTAACTTAAGTTGAAGAAATGCAATAACTTGCATGCATATGTACAGACACTGCCCCCTTTAGTTTCCCTTAGTCTTTGCTTAAAAGCCTGTATGAAAGGGAATTTATGAATATAAAGACCAACGGACTGGCTGTAGAAGCGTTTATCGTGTTTCTCTTGACTGGTGTATACATGCATTCATGCATTAGTCTTTTTTCAATTATTCTTTTATTCTACCTACGAAGCATGCAAAAAAGGGGTACAAGAATACATTTTCAATTACTTTGAGACAACTCTCAAAGTAGCAAAACAGGGGGATTCCCAAAAGAGAAAATTTAATCTAATGAAAGGAAACAAAGTCATACAGCCAGACCGATAAACCCAAATTATCGCTTTCAGGCATTCTGAAGAAAATTGATTATCCATTTGGTCTACATAGTAATATTTCCTTTCACCGGTTGTCTTTGGGAAGCGTGTGGTTTCTGTATCGAAGCAGGAGGATTGAGCAGTCTACATATTACATACACTTACCTTGATGGTCCAAAGAGCTTCTGTACCATGTAGATGAATATCTCATTTAATGAACTCACGTAAGGTCTGCTGTGAAAGTCAAACCTGATAGAAAAAAATATATACATACATGTTTGTGGAACATTTTACTAGATAGTCCAAAGCCTTCAATTATCAAATATTCTTCTTAAAAACTGCACACACACAAAAAAAAACATAATGGCAAAACATTGTATACCTACATGCAGGTATACCCTCATCATTATTATCATCATCATCATCATCTTTATTTGGTGTTATTGTTGATATTTTTCTCATAAATGCTTTGCCAAAATAAGAATCTCAAATGTAAGGAAGTTATAATGAACAGCTTTGCAGCAAGAAGAATGTAGCTACCCAAATGTTAATGCAACTGCTCCTTAGAGTTCCATACATGTACATCTCGCTTCTTTTTTGTCTTTTTTCTTTTGAATTATCATTCATTTTGGGTTAATTTTGTTTTCCATCTGACAGAGTTTCAATGTTTAACATTTTAAAGTTACCTTCTCAGCAGATACCAAATATAATTTTCAATTGAATAATCTGTTTGAACTTGAAAATCTACCAAAGAAGCGCACACATTCCAATGTTTACATGTGCTTTCCAGTAATTCCCATACACTTACTGTTCTATCTCTGTGGGTACTGTGAAGCTCTGTTTATTCCAGCTATTGAGAAGCCTGTCCACCTGCTGCTCACTGCATGTCGTGTAGTAGATCAGCTGCTCTTGGACTACGGCAAGATTTCTCTCCGACTGCTGGCTATCACGGTAGATCTATAATGGAAAATGTAGATAAAGTTAATGATGTACGTACAATTAGATCCACAACAAGAAACGTCTTCTAATTAGTTCTTTATTTTTTTCAAATACTAAAAATTTGCAAACGTGAGTAACTCACCTGGGCCCCTGTATCATAAAACTTACCATTGATTGTAGCTCTGCCATCAATGGCAACTACCATGGTAACAGGGCTCAACAGCCAATCAAAACCAAGGTTTCCATGGTAGTTACCATTGATGGCAAAGTTACCATCAATGGTAAGTTTTGTGCAACAGGGCCCTGCTGTCTTCTGAAGAAGTAGAATTGTAAACATGCCTTGCATACACTCCTCTAGGTTCTTAAACAGGTTTGCTACAAGTACGTCTACGGTATATAATGGAAATGAGCTAGCCCTTTCACAAGCAATTCAATAAAAATGTGATGCTTGAGCATTTGAATGTATCTACTGTACGTATACATGTCTAGAGTAGTATTATCTATGCTATCTTTAGTAGATGTAGAGTTGCAAAAAACCTCAAAAATTGATATAACGTATTACGATGATCTCCCCATTTCTAACATCATCTTTCAAACAATTTGAAACAAAAATCAATTGAAACAATGTTCAAATCTGAGTTCTAATCTGCAAGTTATAAGGACCCTGCTCTCTACCTTAGATGTAGATGTAGCCAAAGTAAACACCGGAATTGTAACTTCATTACATTGATATTGAATGTGTATTTTTTTTAAAGGGTTGTTCTCATAACATTTTCTGTTCAGAATTTAAATGTGTTTGCGCCTTCCAATGTACCTTCAGGTTTTAATTGCCAAGCTATCTTGTGAAGATGTAGACTTAGAAACAATCTATTAAGCCACTCAATGGTTTCTTATCCTCAGAATATTAAAGCCTTATTGGATATCCTTTGTGAAGCTCCATGAAATTTGATTACTTTAAAAGCTGTTATTTTTGCGTGATTAATTTTTTGTGCTGAGCGACCCAAAAAAATACTTGCAGGTTCTTAACTTTGCGTTGCTCGCAATTCAGCCCATTCAAAATATGCATAAGAAGTCATGCTTATATTTTCGCGAGTTCTATAATTCGCACATAACGATCTTAACACAAAATCCACAAAATTTAATGTACCGCGAATATTATAAAATTGGCTTCTATTTGCCCTGCTATCTTTAGAAGATGTAGAACAACATACATGTAGACTCAAGTAGTTGAGTATGTTCATTTATTCTGTTCAGCTTTGACAAAACAATCTTTTTAGACCCTTTGGAAAATTTTGTTGAATCAAGGTTCACGTCTCAAAAGCATTTACAAGCTGTAACTGAATTGCTATCTACTAAAGATGTAGACTTAGAAACACAATATTACTGGGACGTTACTGGTTTTAACTCTATACAACAGATAAGCATCTTTTAAACAGGTAAAAAGTAGCAACCATGTCTCCTGCGTACACATTGTTCTGTGTGTCAATAAGCCCAGTGCCCTTCATCACAATGGTTTACTGGCACATATGTGAACCATAGCTACTTGAGATAGATAGTTACATCACTGGGAGTTACTTCTGATTGGTGGAGCTACCACCTCATCGACCCGCCCACAAGCCCCGATTGCAATCATTGCGAGGTTCATTTACATGTTTGAGCATTTTAATGTGTCAATTTATGAAGCTCCAAATAGTTCCCTCTCATCTCATAGAGATTGTATGTGTATGTTGGAGCATCATGATTTAATTTATGACCGCGCTTGCGTATGCGTAGATGTGCGTGTCACAACTATGTCTCTCAATACGCTACGATGTGCACAAGCCTTGAGAAGCTAGGACCTACCCTGGAGAAGTGAAGTGCTAGAGCACAGTACATGGCAAAGATCTTGAAGTTACTCTCATCCGTCTGGTCAAAGGCGGTGGTCTGACCGTCTTGACCCATCTTGTTGATCATCTGGACAACGCCGATGATGAGACCGTGACTGGTGATGGGCATACACAGGATGGAGCGGGTGGAGTAGCCCGTCTTCACGTCCACCTCCCTGTATACATTGGAGAAGAACACAAATGAGTGACATTGATAATGGAGGTTATTCAACGGTCATCTTCCTCTACTTAATGTACATATTGTGGGTGATGACTCAGTCCCACCCCAGAAAATTAGAAGTGTACCAAATTCACCGCCACCCTTAACTATGTAAACAGTGGTAGAACAATGATAAGGGTTCATAGGAGGTATTTTATTTGTAAATATGGGAAGAGTTTTGCAGGATGCCTCCCGGGCGCCGCAGAATGTGATCACACATGCTGTAGAAATGAAAATCAGAAGGGTGCCGTACGGTCTCTAAAATCCACGGCAAGTAGCCGGGAAGGGAAAGTCGTACAGGGCCCGGTGTACATGTGATCTAGGCATTTATTAGGTTGTAATATTTTACAATTAAAGGAAAATCTGTTTAAGACACTCTTCTTGTATGACCATATTGGAAGGAATATCATGAACTAGATGAAGAGTGCAAAAGGAGGTAAAGAAGGAAAAATGGAAACCAAACCTGTTGAATCTTCGATCTTGGTAAGCATCTGGAATATTGACAATATCACCGGTCTTAGCGACATGTCCAGCTATGCCTCTACTCAATGGGAACCTAGCACAAAAACATAACACAGGTAAAATGTAAACATACATCACATGATTAGATAAGAACCCGGCCCCCCCACTCAGTGTTATTTAGGTTACGCATATGCTCGTACCCTCTTTTTGAAAGCACCCCCTATCTGAGGACTGCCAACATTTCCGAACCCCCCTTTCGCGGGCTTTTCGCGGGCTTTTCCTGCCTTGGAGACCCCCCTAAATCAGGAAAAATGCTCAATGTACCCCCCTAAATTTGGAATAATTTCTCAGGAGTCCAAAGAGATGAGAGAAAAAAAAGAAAAACACCCCCTTTTTGAAGAAATCTCCGGGTGAAAAGTCAAATACACCCCTTTTTTTTACAATTCTCGGGCCGGACTTTGTCGCACGAAAAGTACCCCTTTACCGGACATTTTGGCAACACGCATGCGGTCATTCCGACCTCTGAGTGGGGGGGCCGGGGATAAGAAGCACTCAAGAAATTTTTTCAAAGATTTACTAGTGGTTCCTTTAAGGTTTAGAACATTTTTGATGTGCATGATCTTTTGCATCTTGTGTGAATTAGGCATCTTTCAGTTTCTTAAGCATACTTTAATTGCTTGTCTGTTGAAAGAACGAGGCCAATCAATTTGATATGTTTAGCAATATTTCACCTTAATTCATTGTAATTGAATCATCTTTAGTGCACATGTATTTTTAATAATATATAACGTATTTGATGTATTTAGTGTACTTTTAGTACAATTAAGTGTATATCAACATCATTTTGTGAATTTTGAACACATTTAGTGCAGAGCTACAAGTTTCACACCCTCGCGCCGAGTCATGAAAATGTCACGCATAGCTGATCTTTGAACTTGGCGTCTCTGTTAATGTATATTTGGATGTAATTGTTCTTCTAAAAAGAGCACTTTACAAAAAGGCTTGCACAACAAATTTTGATTTGATATGTTCAATGCAAAAAACACAACTTGACTTTAAACCAATTATTGGGGTTGCTCACGAGTTGTGTGCAGAATACCCCCCCCCCCCCCCTCCCACAAAAAACCCCACAACACTTTATTTTGATACTCAGTATAGAGGATGATTGAGAGATATATTTCTGACCTGATCTGGCTCTTCTTGACAAAGACTGGTTTCCCGTCCCTGTCTAGGCCATCATCAAACTGGTCAGCGTACAGCTCTTCTGTTTCAGTGTCTACCAAGAAGAGAGCGCACCGGTCTGCACTCACTAGGCTCTTAGCAAACATCTGTGAGATAGAGTATTCAGAAAATGAAAAGTGATGTATTGATGAAGGTGTTGCATCCATATAATGTAGCTTTTAAAAAAAGATATGATCGAATTAAAGAGATAGTGATTGGAGTGCCTAAGATAATGTATTTATTTATAATAATAATAATAATAATAATAATAATAATAATAATAATAATAATAATAATGTGACACTTGCTTTAATTAAGGAAAATTGATTTGCGGTATATTGCTCGGTGATGTTCCTACAAGTTTTATTTCTTGATTTACCAGGCACTTAAAATATGTGATCTTGATTTTTTTTAATTTAATATTTTACAAGAGTATTCTACAGAATATGAAGGAAAATATATTGGAAGAGATGTTACATTAAACGTTACAATGTTCAGGATATAAAATCTTCATATTGCTTTGTGTCAACCAGTACTTCATACTTTACGATAAGGGATGGAATACTGCAGGTGTCAAATAAAAATCATTGTGTGTTATGTATGCTTATTATGCAGGACTAAGAATTGTTATCTTCAATCAGCTCTATTCCTAACCTGCCAGAATATAATCTATACTTACAATACTGAAGATTGCTTTAATAAGATTCATAAGGACTCAACTTACCATGATGTGCTGGCTGAGGTCATCGATCGCAACAATGTCATCAAAGATTACCCTGCAGCAGAAACATACATTTAAGCAATCTTATATATAACAACTTTTGTATTTTACATACTACTTCACCTGTATAGTCTTGGTGCTATACAGCTCTGAATACATGAATTTTTCCAAACATAACTAGAAGAATAACATTGAAACAACAACAAAAGTCATGAACATAAATACGTTGATATTGCCACAAACCAGCATTGACTTTAAAAATCAAAAGAATGCATCTATAGAACCCAACAAGGATAAAAGAATCAAATACCAACACTAAACCACACTTGGCAAAAGTTGCATTTAACAAATCAATCAAACACAAGCATGCAAAAGTTTCATGAAATGCATGATGACATGGAAACAATCCTTTTTGAGTATTAATGTGTTTATGCCCATTTCATTGTGATTTACTTTGATGAGCACAACACATGTACATTTACATACTGCATATTTTCTACCTGAAACAGGAACAAAAATATACAAACGTATTTGAAGAACTGGTGTCTGTTTAAAACATATGAACAACAACAATGTTCTCAAGAACTCTTAAAAACAAATTGATAAGCTGAACTAGTTGAACAACTTTAATGATATAATGGATTACAACTATGGAAAATGATTAGCAAAGCAAAGAAAAACCTCTATAGCTACATTAAAAAAACTCTCTCATAAATAAACTTATCAACTGTTGGTTTAACTCCCTGAACATTTGTTTTACCTAGATACTTCCAGAAGGAAATCATTGAACTCCCTCTGTTTCATGAGACCATTGCAAACCTGTATGATATTTTAAGGTGCCCGACAAAATTTACTGGATGAAAATGCCTGAATTGATAAAAAATTTTTGTTTGAACATTGTATAAATAACCTGACATGCATTCAAACTGGATTTTTTAAAAGAAGAATATTTTTGCCCAAAAAATGTTGGGTTCAAAGTTGAAGTTCTGCTGTGAGGTGCACAATTAGTTAGGCCCCTGGAAACTTACAAGTTTGACATGCGCTATATGCTATATCAACAATAAGTGTATTTTTAAAATTAAAAATGGCAGCTTCAATCTGAAAGCAATCTTGTAAGAACAAGCTGCCAAACATGCAAAGTGTTGCATTTGCTTTTTCTGCATTGCTATGTTACACAAAAACATCTTCATACACACATAAACAAATATTAACTAGATGGAATTTTGACTGCGCGCAGTCGAAAATGATGCCTCCGCCATAGAGCAATTTAAACAAGTTTGGAGTTTAAATCTCCAGTGGTTCTTGAGATATCATGATAACAATCTCAATGTATGGAATTTCATAAGTTGACCTCTGTGACCCTTGACCTTTGACCTACGTGCTCCAAAATCTAATCAGATTGTCTTCCTATGGTGATACACACTATCATTAAAGTTTGAAGTTTAAATCTCCAGTGGTTCTTGAGATATTATGATATGGTGATACATACTATCATTAAGTTTGAAGTGAAAATTCTCCAGTGGTTCTTGAGATATTGCGATAACGATCTCAATGTATGGAATTTCATAAGTTGACCTCTGTGACCCTTGACCTTTGACCTACGTGCTCCAAAATCTAATCAGATTGTCTTCCTATGGTGATACACACTATCATTAAGTTTGAAGTTTAAATCTCCAGTGGTTCTTGAGATATTATAACAATCTCAATGTATGGAATTTCATAAGTTGACCTCTGTGACCCTTGACCTTTGACCTACGTGCTCCAAAATCTAATCAGATCGTCTTCCTATGGTGATACATACTATCCTTAAGTTTGAAGTTTTTACATTTCCAGTGGTTCTTGAGATATCATGATAACAATCTCAATGTATGGAATTTCATAAGTTGACCTCTGTGACCCTTGACCTTTGACCTACGTGCTCCAAAATGTAATCAGATTGTTTTCCTATAGTGATACACACTATCACTAAGTTTGAAGTTTAAATCTCCAGTGGTTCTTGAGATATCATGATAACAATCTCAATGTATGGAATTTCATAAGTTGACCTCTGTGACCCTTGACCTTTGACATACGTGCTCCAAAATCTAATCAGATCGTCTTCCTATGGTGATACATACTATCCTTAAGTTTGAAGTTTAAATCTTAAATGGTTCTTGAGATATTGTGATAACGGTCAAACGGGACGGACGTACGGACAACCCGAAAACATGATGCCTCCGGCACCACCTTCGGTGGCGGAGGCATAAAAACAGGTTGATAAATAATTGATACTGGTATTGCTCACATATACTGCAAATTTACCTGAATTTTGTCCAAAGCAATGGCCACCCAAGTGAAGTAGGTTCCTGCAATCTGTGGATATTCGAAGGGCATATCTCTATTATAAGACAGCAACAACGGATACCCTGGATGCTCCAACAGACTTTAAACTCCAGACAGCAATAAATAATAATAATAATACTCAGCTTTTATATAGCACAAATGTACAATAAAGTCTCTAAGCGCTTCCAAACTTGGAGATTATTACCCCGGATTTAGCTGTGCTGCCATTACGGCTCTCTAGCATTACAGGAAATTAATCCCTGCCAGGTACCCGCAACTTCAAACCTTTCTTGGTTGTGATTTACCATGGAGAAACTTGTAATAAACAAGAGATACACTCTATGAAAATTATGAATTTTCTTTCTTTTGGATGACATTTTTAATTTACAAAGAAACGTTGCACACCTGCTTTTCTTGTTGCGTGAAGGGTGGGCTGCCAACTTGCCGACTCAACTCAATCACAGCTGTGTAGCATAGAAATACAATGAAAGGTTAACATGAGCATACCGTCCTTTTCAATAACTGGTCAGCCAGCATGTGTCACTTTTAGGTGTTGCTTTTGTTGTTTTATGTTCCTTTTTTGTATTTGCTGAAGAAGCATGCTACTAGCTTCTGTGTATTTTCAACCATTAAATAATAAGTGATTATTTGCTTCATGATACTGGATTACAAATGTCTATAGACACAATGCCAACAAAATAATTAAACATAAGATCAAAACAAATCTGTTTCACAAAAGTTCAGAAAGTTAAAGGAGTGAGTTTCTTTGTAAAAGGCTACAAAGCAACAATATTTTTGTGTGAAATTTGTCAATTGATGTGTTTATGTCACATATAAAAAAGCATTGTACATAATACAAAGAAGTTATGAGACATGGGTATATATTTTGATGCATTAAGCATTGTATGAATTCAGAAAGTTATCATAACACAAAGGTCAAATTTAAATATAAGAAACATGACCTTTAAGCTGCCTTAATCCTTAAGGGCAGCTATTGATTGACTCACCCACAATCTCTCCATTGGGTTGAATGAGAGGGAGACTCAGGACAGACTTGGCTAGACTACCATCCCGGCCAGTCCCTAATGGGAAGCGCTCATCCTGCATTATCAAAACATGATGATGTTATTTAGGAGGAATGGATTGTTAGGGCTATATATGATTTCATTCATCAACTCTTTCTTTTGCTCTCGATTACTTTATGAAATGTCAAAAATATGGAGAAATCAACAGACAATTCATTTAATACGTGTTCATGTGCATGGTTTGCTGAAAGCCAAAAGTGCAATTATATGTAAAAACTATACTACACTGTACTAAATACCCTTCTGGCTTTCAGCACACTAAATGTGTAGGTCTAAGAACAAGATATAGAGGTGTACATCATGCAATTCAAGTTAATGATTGAATAATTGAAGTCCTGAAAACTAACATCAGATAGGGATCATGAAGTAAATATTCCCATGCAATTCCAAAGCTGCAATTAAAATGATACAGATACTGGACATATATATACATGGAATTGGAAATTGAGGTTATAGAATATAAGCATTTATAAATCAACAAAATTCGAAATAAAGTGAAAGATTTACCTTTTTATTTCCATATATGTCAAACTTTCTCTAATGGCAATACCAAACATGATAAGTATATTCAAATAGGAACAAAGAATAAAAAATGAAAATATTGAATACATAGAGCAATGAGACATATATGACTCACTCCTAAGATGTCCTCTGAAAATACTGGTTGCCTGCTGTGGGCTACATGAGCAACGATGTTTGTTCCAGGATCAATTGGAGCAAAGGGAGTTAACTGGATGCTAAATAGAATAAATCAACAGCATTTACAAGTATACTTTCTCTTGACGTACTAAATGACCTTACAACTTTGTACTCAATTCACCAGTATAATTGTCCATCTTTTCAATGCATTGATCACAAATGAGGGCTTGGATTCCAAGTAAGAAATATGCTTGTAGATTATAATGTAGAATCACAATCAGGTTTTAAATCTCATTTTTACTCTACAAGTATGTCGGTCATTTAACACAGTCAACATCTAAACAAAAAATAACAAACAAAAAAATTCAACCAATATACTCAAACTGATGAGGTTTCATTTCCAGGGTCTACATGTTTTGTCGTATGACTCTTCTCACTATTGCATCTTCTATGATACTATTTTGGGTTAGAGTTTATGATTATTTGACTAAATTCAGGATTTTCAACAACTGTTCCCTTGTAACACTCTATAGTATTGTTACCTAAAAATGAAATTTGAATACATGTACTTACCACTCCTCCCCTTCACTGCACAGATACAAACTCTACAAAATCAAAAGAAGGTAATTTAAATATGTAAAGAATTACAAGCCTCAAGTGAAATAAAATGACAAACTGAAGCACTAGAAGACTATTATTATTTGTTTAGGAAAACGAAAAGGTAAATATGCACATAGATTCCCCTTCCCTCTACCCCCCCCCCTCCAATATAAATAATGATTACACAGTTCATCCTGCAGAGAGCACGGATGGATAATGGCATCACTTCTCCATATAATGGCAACTACAATTATGCAATCAAGAGTAGATTGTAGATGCTTTAAAGTGTTGTTTTTTCTCTCTTTTTCATGAAAATAGGGAAAACTCATGAAATTTAATTTTGTTAAAAATACCTAATAAAGCTGAAAGTTTACAAATACAAATATATAATGCTAGTAATAGACTGATTTTTTTATTTGAAGCGTGTCCTAAAAATAATTTTTACTTACATTTTCCTGTGCACCAACCATGAAAAGGAAAACTTCATCAGCTTTAACAGCTGTATGAAAAAGAAAAATAAACTAGTAAAAAATATATTCAACGTAAGATGCTATTTCTGAAAGCCATCTGAAAATACTGCAAAATGTACTGTTACGCTCATTTGTACCCCCTTATATAAAGCTGCCAAAGTTTATCAGCATCATTTCTCTTTTACAGTGTATCGCTGGCATTGTATAGTGAGTTTACAAAATAATGCTGCTGTATATATTATTTACCTGTCATAGAAATTGCATGAATGTTCCTTCTTAAATTCAAAAGCATATCCATAGGTGTTATCCATGTAGTAAAAATGTTGATCAATTTAAAAATAAGAATAATAAAGTTCCTGGATACAACTGGCTTTACAGAAATGTTTTAGTAAATTTTTTTTTTTTACATGTCAATTTAAAATTGTAAATATTGACTCATCCATCAACAATAACCATAGCATCTGTTAAGTACCAAAAGGGCATTAATTTGGTGTCATAGGCTCTAAGTAATGTCCTTGTGATTCTCATGAAACCATTTTACCTGTTGAGATGTTGGAGCTGAGCTGATATAGGACGTCTGGTATGCCATCATGTTCCTCGATTCTCTCCACCATGTCCACAAGGAAAGTCTTGATGTCATCACCCGTTTTTGGACACTACATGTACAAGGATTGTAAATTTCAGGGCCCCATTGCACATACTTACCATTGGTGGTAACTTTGCAATCAATTGTAACTACCATGAAAACCTTGAATTTGATTGGCTGTTGAGCCCTGTTACCATGGTAGTTGCCAATGATGGTAAAGTTACCATCAATGGTAAGTTGTATGCAACGGGTCCAGGTTTAAAGAATGCTTTTATTAGTATTTCCATTTTAAAATGAATGAAAAATTGTCTACAAAAAGTATCAAATTATTTTTCTTTTTAAATAGGTACTGTAACAGTGTAAGCTTTAAGCAAACTTTTGTTTTCATCTAAAATGAAAAAAGGAAATGTGTGTTCTTTCTTTCATTGTGTTGAGAATAAAATGGGTGGAAATTTGTCAAACGATCAATGATTTTTGACTTTCTTTTTCAATTTTTTTTTTTATAGTTTCAATCAAACTTTTCATAAACCTGCATCATAAACACAAAAATTTAATAGTATCTGTATTAACATAGGGTTCATCCTGAATATTCATAAACATAAGAATGAGTGTGATTGATTGATAGATCGATTGTTTTAATTCATATTCTATGCATAAGTAGTTGAAGCATAATACCTTTGACAAAACATTAACATTTCTTATTTAATATATTAGAGTAAATAATCCTGAATAATAGTACTTAATGAGATAAAAGAATGTTATGTTAATCAATGAATAAGGAAAATAGAAAGTGAACCTACTTAAAATGTTATGTACAAGTATATGTACGACTCATATCATGTTTCATACGGGATGTCAAATAAAAATCATTGTGTTATGTTTATTTATTATGTAAGACCAATATCTTCCTTAGATATGAAGTCATGATAGAACCCAAGTGTGTACTCTGTAACCAGCTGTTAAAAATTCTATGAAAAGCTCAATTGATTGTGAAGGTCGGGATTGATTTTTTTTTTTAGCATCTTCATCTTCCAATTGAGTTTGATATTGCCCTTGAACAATTGTAACATATATTATCTGCATCGCAAGGAATAGACACTTTTACTGGTTAGGAGCTTTGTTGATTCTGCCCATGCACAGTTATCTATCTAAAGAAATTAGGTAATGACTCACTGTGGTTTTACGTTTAAATCTGTTAATTTTTATTCGAGTTCCAGTAACTATCAAGAATATGGTCCCAGATATTGTATCAAGTACTACGTCAATATTCATATATTTAAGAATATGATTTAATACTTTGGAGTTAATACTGTATACTTTTCAGAAATGTACCAATGCTGACATCAAACTGACTATGATTCATATTTCTCCCAGCATGCTTTGGTTCTTCCTTTATCTTACTTTAATTTTAACATATATTTATACTACAAAGATTTCACTCACCAACAAGTTGCCTTCCTTCACTGAAGAAGGCCTCTCCTTTTTTCCTGTGTTCAAGTACAGAAAAGAAAAGAAACCTTTACATTTACTAGGTTTCAGCTAATCTAAATTTTGTGCGCAGTATTAATATCCAGCTATACAGTTATATTATATATTTATCCCTGTTTACAACCCAAGGAAATTTAGCACATTTTTTTTTACTCGAACACTAAAGTGACAGTTCTTTTCCTGCTTTAAGGATAAATTTCAACAAGAAGATTTAATTTTCTCTACTATCCTGGCAAAATGTATGTTCCCTTCATCTGTTCCACATCAATAATTTTTCATCTTTTGGTATTATTTACCCATACTCGATCTACTGTGATTTTAATATACCCCCTTCTCCCTCATCTCTCTCTCTCTCTCTCTCTCTCTGTTTCTGTCTTTCTCTTTCTCTCTCTCCCATTTTGTCTCTCTCTCCCATTTTGTCTCTCTCTCTCTCTCTCTCTGTCTCTCTCTTCCTCACTGTGACCTTGGTTTATTGATTCACCTTTGTTCTTGGTGCTACTCTCCTCCTTGAACCATTTCTGTACATCATCCAGGCTGAAGTTATCCTTCACATGCTCTTCTACCAGCCAAGGGTTTTCAGCCAGGTAGCGTTTGATTTCCCGGGGTGTGGCAAGAATACCTGGAACTTGTGGATGTACATAAAATGCTAGAACTTTAGACATTTGCTTTCATAGATTGATTTAATTATAGGGAGAAAGAGTCAAGACTATCAAGTTTGTTTGCAAGTTTGTTTGTTTCTACACAAATGTATTTATTTAAAATATTATCATATGGACTGCAAAGTTTTTTACTACAAATTGATTCAACTACAAAATTTGTTGTCAAAGGATTTCCTGAGATATCGCGATCTAGAAAATTTGATGTCCGATTGGCATGCACGCTGCAACTAAAAAGGTCATAAAAACAGCGAGACCTTACTTCATGCACAAGGGTTTACAGGCTAATAGTAACGCCTACACCCTACAGCTAATTTATCAAAAAAAGTGATCCATCAAAAATAAGGTAATTTCATAATTTGCAAGGCAAGATATTGTACAATCAGTTGGTATTTCTTTTTACTTACAAGTTTTAGGATATTTGCTCTACAAATGAAGATTTCCAGACTTTTATCGGTTAGGCCTAGACGGTACTAGGCTTAGATTAGACCTAGAAGTCTAGATCTAGATTTTTTTTCTAGTTGATAATTTTTTGGAACGGACTCAAAATTCAAATGACTGCAAAATTTGCTGATCTTTTGTTAATATTTTCATAATTTAACACCCAATTCCAAGGAAAGTTTGTCACTGGGTAGTTTCATGTTCCTCTCTTCCCATTGGTGATATCATATTTTTGACATCTTACAGATTTTTTTAGATAGCGAACTGTCTTGGGAGATGTCATGCGCGAACTATGGTCAAACCGCCATAGGCTAGATCTTCAATGACTTGCCCTTGACTCTTGACTTGAGTCCTTTTTCTTCTTTCTTTTCTCTTCTTCTTTTTTTTTTTCTTTCTTTCTTCTGGGATACTCCTCAACGTTCCGTTAGGAACCAAGCGAGGATGAGGGGGTGCGCACTGTGCTTGTTTACAGTTTAGGTCTTAATTGCTTGAGTCTTGGTTGTGCAAAAAGTTGGTTGCTTGGAGTTTGAAGGTGTCGATTTAAGTTCGAAGTGGAACCCCACAAGGAACTGTGCTCGGTCCCCACTTGTTCTTGCTCTTCATAAATGACATTCACGACAAAGTCAAAAGCACCACTAAGCTTTTTGCAGACGACTGCATGCTGTACCGTCCAATTAAATCAGTAAACGACATGGACATCCTGCAACAAGACCTAGATGCAATGGTGGAGTGGTCTCAGAAATGGGGCATGAAATTCAACCCAAAAATGAAGAAGAAACCGGGTAAATCTTCATACAACCTCCTTGGTGTCACCCTGGAAGAATGTAAGCAGACAAAGTACCTTGGTGTTGTGATCTAGAACGACCTCCGATGGAATGGCCAAACTCACCTCGCAACAACAAAAGCTATATGAGTATTGAGTTTTCTGAGACGCAACTTTCATCACTGCTCAACTTCCATAAAGGAGAAACTCTACCTCACCCTCGTTAGACCACACTTAGATTACGCAGTTGCTGCTTGGGACCCATACACAGCTAAGAACATTTCTTCTATCAAACGAGTCCAGAGGCAGGCAGACCGTTTTGTCACAAGCACATATCAGAGAGAAGCAAGCGTCACCCTCCTTCTAAATTCTCTTAAATGGAACTCTCTCCAAGACAGACGCGAAGCTCACCGTCTAAGCTGTTTCCACAAAATGTTACATGGCCAGCTGGACATAGATGCCCAAACACACATTAAACCTAAACCAGGTCGTAGCAGACGCGGGCACTCAAGTCAGTTCGAAATACCATTAACCAGATTAGATGTAAACCTAGGCCTATACAAAAACTCTTTTTTTCCACGCACAACCAGAGCATGGAATGATCTCGATTCGACATTAGTATCCCTGACTGACTCAGCAAAGTTTAAAGTAGCACTCCTTCCGAAATAAGTCCACCCTCTGCCACCACGACCTCCAGTTTAAATTCCACTAGATCTAGACTAGGAATCTTTTGGAGGAACAACAACCAAGTACCAAGTCGATGTTTGTGGTCCTTTGGATGTCGGAGGGTAGACTAGTGAGTTCTACTAGTCCTTGATGGTACGAGGTATGTAGGAGTGTTTAAAACAATTGGTGCGGGTGGAGTATTGGATGAAGGAGTTTCCTGAGGTACCGTATGTCTAGTGGCTGTGTAAGTTAGCTAAACTAAAGTCAGGGACAGTAGGCCTAGGCCTAGACTAAAGTTTAGTCTCTTCTTTCTTCCTTTCTTTGTTCCTTCTCGACAAGATTTGGTGGTCTAGACTAGAGACCTAGGTCCTCAAATTAAAACTAAGCAAGCTAGATTTCTAGACATTAGATAAATTCTTGACATTGAATAAAAGATAATTGAATGCCCAACTTACTGATTTGGTGCGCCATGATAGATCTATCCGTTCCGTCACTTCTATCCCGTGTTGAATGGGGTCTCCCCTGGGTTTGTGGAGGAGCAGATTGTGTCGATTCAAATGTCTCACTTCGGTTCAATGCAAAAACAGACTGGGAGTGGGATGAGTTGCCGGGTAATGAAGGAAGACGGCGCTCCAGTTGCTTCCACGGTGAAGACATTTCACCTCATGATACGAATTTTAATGGATTATTAGCTAGGTGACCTCAGTTTAGACCCGAGTGATACCTAAAAAAACTAGATCTAGTCTAGATCTATCTTCCATTTAATTTAATCTGCAGTTTATATGCGCGTAATAATGCGCGTATACGCGTACTCAAAACGCGTTATGCTTGCATTTTGGCTTATCCTTGAGACTTTGTGGCTGGTTTCAATGATAGAAATAAGCCAATCTTCCAACACGAAAACAAGCGAACCATTAGAAATCATACATAATAACTTGGCGACTCGTGTTGTTGTAAGCCTTGTAGCCAAATTTGGCTTTATCATCATGGATGACTTTTGACCTACTTTTGATCTGAAGGACCATCAAGGATGAATTTTGACCTACTTTTCATCTGAAGGACCATCAAGGATGACATTTGACCTACTTTTCATCTGAAGGACCATCCAGTTTAACATCCTCACCCCCCCCCCCCCTATCACAGCTAGCTCCCTCCTCGTGATCTACGGGAGAGGGGGAGGGGGATTTAGAGGCTAATTCCGTCTGCTATCCTTACTTTTTCGGGGGGTGTTTTGGGGGTCTAGCCTTGATTTATCAAAGAAATAACAATAATTTTGTCTTACAAAATGATAATATATGATCGATACTCAAGCCAGTTGAAACGGGATCCGCGCCACCCCCCCCCCCCACCACACACACACACACACACGTACACACACAGTGGCGGATCCAGGGAGGGGGTCCCCTCCCCTGGTAAAAAAAGAAGAAAAAACACGTCAATTTTACCTTTATGTGAAGAAGGGCCCCCTACCCACGTGCTCATGCAGGGGGGGGGGGGGATATAGGTGCGATTTTCAAATTTTCGGGAGCAAAACAAAATAGTGCTCCTCACTCTTTCAGGACTCATACAAAAAAGTATGAGAATAATATTGTTATCACATTCAAGACTGTGAAAATTTAGTCAAATTAATCCACGGTAGAGCCACATCATTGATAATACTTCTTTTCATGCGGGCCCTGCAAAGGTTATTACTCCATCATTAACAGGAACCTGGGTCGAGAGGGAATATGTGGGCAAAATACCTTGCCCAAGGATGAAAACAGTAGCACTTACAATTCCTTCTGCATGAGAGTCGAGAGTCCTCACCAATTACAGTGCTGGGTTCTTGGACACCTACCCCTTGGACATCCACCCCCGGATAACCACCCCAGTCAACTACCCCCTAGGACAAAAAATTACTACCCCCTCCAACAACCAACCTCTAGGACGACTACCCCCGGACAACTACCCCCCCCCCCCCAGACAACCACCCCCGGACAACTACCTAAGTAAAATATTCCCTAGGACAACTACCCTCAAGGACAACTATCCCTGGATAACGCCCCCCCCCCTAGGACATCTACCATCCGGACAACTACCCCCATACAACTATCCTAGGGGGAAGTTGTAAGGGGTAATTGTCCTAGGGGGTAGTTAACTGGGTTGTAGTTTAAGGGTATTAACCCCCCCCCCCCCCCCACCTCGGGCGGCCAACAAAAAAGAAGAGTAAAACCTTTTTTTTTTAATTATTATTTTTAATTGTCGGGGGTAAAATGATTTTGTTTCTAGTGCTTCCCCCCCCCCCGAAAAATGAAAACAAAAATAGTGCTCGCTACCCCCCCCCCCCCCCTCGCTCCCGCCCCCTGAGTTTAAAGTTTTCACATGGTAGAATGGCATAAAATGCTGAAAATAAAAAAACTATGATTAATTTACATCATTTACATCTTCTTCTTCTTCTTCTTCGCTTTGAGTGCAGGCTACCGTCAGATTTATTCT